CACGTTACACTTTCTAAGAAATCCCTCAACTCTTTTCCAAAATGGTGGCGCCACTTTCCATCCCCACCGGAAGCGCGTGAGGATTCAAGTCGTTGCACCTCTTGGCCGGTATTTCGTACGCTCGGTTTTTCTATTTTTAGAAAAGCGACTTAGTCTTATTTCATCGACACTTTAATTTGCATTTCCTTAACGGCTGATGGGCACTGAGCATCTTTCAGTCTGAGCACCTGCCTCCAGACCTTCTTCGGTGAATTATTCCCTCCATCATTTTGCTGAGCTGTTCTGTTCCTTATACTGAATCCTGAGGGTTTTTAAATACCTATGTATCATAGATTCTGGATCCGAGTCCTTTATCAGGTAAGTTATTTGCATATATTTTCTCCAGTCTGTGGCTTATCTTTTCATTCCTTTAAACAGTTTCTTTCAAAGACGAAGAGTTCTTAATTTTGATAAAATCCAATTATAGTTTTCTACCATTATCTGAAAGTAGGGCGTTCCCACGAAACTTTCCATAAACCAAAATGGCTTTCTGGAAATTTGCATCACTCCACTTTTGGAAAGCAGGAGATATCTGTAATCGATTTTTTTTTTCTTTTATCGATCTTGTTTCTGGTTTCATAGCTAAGAAACCTTTGCCTAATCTTAGGACACAAAGATTTTCTGCTCTGTTTTCTTCTGTGAGTTAATTTTTGTATAGGGCGAAAGGTATGGACAAAAGGTTATGGGCGGGGTGGGGGGATGGAGGGGAGCAAGGAGACATCCGGTCGTTCCAGACTATCCTTTCTCTGCTGAGTCGCTTTTGCCTTTTGTCATTTTGTTTGTACTTATCTCTTAATTCTTATTTTGTTACGTGAATCTGTTTCTCTATCCTGTTGCCCTTGTCCTGTTTCCCGTACCTTGGTACGTCTTAAAGTCGTATAACATCAAGTCCCCTGATTTTGTTCTGCAGAGCTGCTTTCGCTACTCTAGTTCCTCTGCAATTCCATACGGATTTTGGAATAAATGTGTCCATTTCTACCCCCCCAAAAAATGCCTGCTGAGATTTTGACTGGGATTGAATTAAATGTACAGATTCAGCTGGAAAGGGATGAACATTTCAATGATATTGAGTCTTTTGATTCATAAACATGGACTATATCTCCATTTACTTAGGTTGCATTTAATTTAAGTTTTATAGTTTTCCATGACCAAGTTTTGCACATGTTTTGTCATATTTTACCTGAGTATTTCATACGCTTTGATCGTATTGTAAATAGTATTTTATTTCAGTTTGATTATTCATTGTTAGTATATAAAGGTATAATAATTTTTATATATTAATCTGATATACTGCTTATTAGTTTTGATATCTTCGTATAAATTCCATAGGATTTTCTCCGTCTATCATCAGTCATATTGAGATGATCGGACGGTTTTTCTTTTTTAAGACGTGTGTTTTGGGGACAAATTCTTGTGGACTTGATTGATTTGTGAATGTTAAAACAAACCTACCTCCTGAGATAAACCTTATTTTGATCAAGTTCCCTAATCCTTTTCACATGTTCTTAGACTCGATTTGCTAAAATTTTGTTAAAAAGTTCGTCTCCGTGTTAGAGGGGCTTTTAGTCTATAGGTTTCTTTTCTTTGTCTGGGTTTGGTAGAAAAGGAACACTGTCCTTAGAAAATAAGAAATAGTCCCTTCCTCAATTTTCGGAAATCAGACATCAACGAAATCAGAAACAGAAAACAGAAAATCAATGAAACAAAAAACTAGGTCTTTCAGGAGACTGATAAAAATTGATGAAGAAAGGAGTCAGGCTGAGCAGGGGAAAAACAGCCAGAGGCTCCTTGGGCTGGGCAAGGGCAAGGTCAAGGCCTCTGCAGGTGTCACAGGATGTGAGCTCATCCCCATGCCGGGCGGGGCTGGACAGTTATCTGCACTCATCATTAACTGTCCCCCAGGCCTGTGAGGTCACCCACACGGACGCTAAGAGAATGTCCCCTATGTACATGCATGTCTGGCCCCCAAGTGGGGCCACCTAAGGACAGAGCGCGAGGCCTCTGAGCCCCTAAAATGCTGGGGCTCCACACTCCTCCCTCAGCTCCACGCTCCTTCCTCCTTCCCACACCCCAGCTTCGCCCAGTGGCCAAAGGCTCCCACACACTCTTCCCCCCAAAGTTTTCATTACGCTGTGAATCAGAGGGCGGGAGGCGGATGCGGAAACCCATGTGACCGGTGTGACTCCCTGGAGCAGGGTCTGCCACCCTGGGCCTGACCGTCACGGGCTGGGGAGAGGTGGATTCCTGCCACATGAGGTGGGCAGCAGAGCTCAAGGGCATGGGTGCCCAGGCGACGATGCTTGGCTGGTGTCCCACTCAGGGGTGTGGGGAGGGCTTTCTCCGCCCCAGAATACAGCAGAGCGAGGTCCTGGGAGGGCTTGGGGAGCAGAGAGCGCTCGGGGAGAGCTGAGCCCTCCAGACGCAGCGTCCCCCCCTCTGCCTCACCAGACTGGGCCGCAGGAGCGTGGCGGAGCTAACGTCGCAGACACGGCTATCAGGGGCTGTGAGGACGGCGTCTTCCAGAAAACCCACGAGGAGTCAGGACACGTCTCGACGTTAGCCCCAGAGATGACTCTTTGTCTTCACTTTGTCTTCATAGTTCTTTTTTGACCAGGTTATAAAGAAGAGGGTTTAAGTCCATAGTGTCCGTGGAATAAGCTATAAACCCATCATTAAAAAGAAAAGCAAGTCGCGATTCAAAGGCCATGAGTGTAATTTCCCATCCGGTGGGGGGAGGGGACACTGTGCTGCATGGGGAGGGGGCTGAGCCCCTTTCAGCACTGCTGGCGATGCCCCCCACCAAAGCCCCCCGCTCCCCCGCCTGCACCCAGAGCAGAGCCGGCTGGAACCGTCCTTCCCAGAGGTCAGATCCAGGAGCAAGAGCCAGCCCTGGGGACTCGGGGGAGGGTAGGGGGCCCGCCATCCCACAGGCCGAGCAGGGGAGGGCAGAGGGAGACGTTGGAGGGGCACATGGGGCGCCTCGGGGCACCTGCACTGAGGCCCAGCCGGGCGCCTGCTCTGAACGGCTGCTCAAGCTCTTGTAGAAAAAGGTTCTGTCCTCACACCTTCGTGCTCCTCCGAAAACAACTGCAGACAGAGGCGATCGCCTTCGGTCTCGAAGCGCAACGCTCTGTTTCCTGCACTGTGCGCTTCTCGCCAGGCTCCGCACCGAGCGCGCCGGGCGTTTCTGGGCGTTTGGCTCACGGCCGGAGACCCCCGCGAGCCTCCGTTTGTCCCTGGTGAGACTAGCGTTTTCTCCAGCTCAGGACGGAGGCTACTTCCTCGCAGAATGGAGGTCCAGGTCAGTGCTGGGGACAGGTGGGCTGCGCGCTAGCGGGGCAGCCCCGAGAAGCCCCAGCCACCCCCTGCCTCGGCGAGAAGAGGTTCCGCCCGCTCCGGCTGGGACACCCCAGAGAGACACGTGACTTTCCGTTCCGCGCCCTTGGAAGCGAATCTGTCAGCCTGATAACGGGGATAAGCCCATGTTCCAGGTGGAGAAATCGAGATTCGGAGACGCTTGGCCGAGCTCACAAAACCATCGGGAAAGGGACCCAGTTTCCGAGCTGCCTCCCTCACCTCGCCTCGTGGGCCCAGGTGACGTGAGTGAGACAGGCGTGGCCGAGGCCCCTCTGGCCAGGCAGGAGCCGTGAGTCTCCGCGGAAAGGGGCCCCCAGGGGTTTTCTGCTTCAGGTGCCTGTGATGAGTCTGGGAGGGGCGGGAGGAAGTTGGCCCTGGAGTGGGGGAACCGGTCCATCTCCTTCGACCCTGGAGGGTGGCCGGGCTGGGAGACGGTATAAAGGGAGGCCCGGCCCCGCTCAGCTCACACTGCCCCAGAAGCCTCTGCGGCCGCCCCTGCCCTGAGCCTGGTGAGTGTCAGGGGGCCTCCGGCGGGCCGGCAAGTGGCTGGGGTGGTCATTCGGGATGGACGCAGGGGTCACTCACGGGCCTGATTCAGCTGCAGTCTCTGTCTTGGGAGGCCTCAGGTCACCGGGTCAAGAAACAGGACAGATGGCAAAGCCCTCCTTTTTCTTGGG